CCCAGGAGGGGCGCGTCTGGGCCAGGAGGCGCGACGGGGCCCAGGAGGGGCGCGACTAGGCTAGGAGGCGCGGCAGGGCCCAGGAGGGGCGCGACTGGGCTAGGAGGCGCGACAGGGCCCAGGAGGGGCGCGACTGGGCTAGGAGGCGCAGCAGGGCCCTGTAGGGGCGCGACTGGGCTAGGAGGCGCGACGGGGCCCAGGAGGGGCGCGACTAGGCTAGGAGGCGCGACGGGGCCCAGGAGGGGCGCGACTGGGCTAGGAGGCGCGACGGGGCCCAGGAGGGGCGCGACGGGGCTAGGAGGCGCGGCAGGGCCCTGGAGGGGCGCGACTGGGCTAGGAGGTACGACGGGGCCCAGGAGGGGCGCGACGGGGCTAGGAGGCGCGGCAGGGCCCAGGAGGGGCGCGAATGGGCTAGGAGGCGCGACGGGGCCCAGGAGGGGCGCGACGGGGCTAGGAGGCGCGGAAGGGCCCAGGAGGGGCGCGACTGGGCTAGGAGGGGCGCGACGGGGCCTAGCTAGGGTAGGGGCGGAAGCGGTAGGTGGGGGATCCTAACCAGGCCCTCAGATTCAAATTCAGGCACCCTGAGCCCTCAGGGTTCACCCTCTGAAAAGCGTGCACCCCTCAGGGTTTGAGCGCTATGCACACCCTGTTCATACAGGGCATTTTCAAGACAGGACCCTGAGCTGACAGGGCACTTTTTGAAGTGCAGCTTTTTCGTTACAACCAACCTCACAATGTTTATAAAACATATGCACGCACAGTATGGCAGAGTAGTACATCATTCATTACGGTTTAGACACATCAAATTAGAAATTTCCTTCATCATCAGAGCTAAACCCACAGCTACTGTCACCATCATCATCCTCTGGCTCACCACCATCCTCCTCTCTCTCGTTGTCTGACGCATGCCCTTGCTTCTCCTTGCCCTTGTCGCTCCTTGGGCGGACACGGGACTGCTCGTTCTTCTTGCTGGGACGGCGCTTCTTGGTTTTGTGCCACAGGTCAACAACCGCGCCCCAATCCATGTCACAGTCTAGCATGCTCATGCACATGAGATCTGACAGCTTGCCGTTGCAGAGACTAGTTCGTTGCCAACTTTTGATCACATTTTGCCTTCTGAAACCTCGCTCACATTCGACAGTGCTGATGGGGAGAACAGCGACAGCCACCCACAGGCGAACCAAGTTGGGGTAGCTCTTGGGCCAGTCACTAGTCTGCAGCATGGCCGCCAAGCCATCATGAAAGCTGCGCTCTCCACGTGGAGCCCCTTGAAGCACGGGCACCAAGGTCTTCAGCTCTTTCCTTGCTGCTCTCTTGTCCACTCCTGCCACACACACAGCACAAGAAAAGAAGTGAAAGATATGAGTATCAGGCTTCCACAGCCTGGCAGCAAGCACAAAGCCCGACAGCAAGCCTGGCAGCAAGCACAAAGCCCGGCTGCAAGCCTGTCAGCAAGCACAAAGCCCGGCAGCAAGCACAAAGCCCAACAGCAAGCTTGGCAGAAAGCACAAATCCCGGCAGCAAGCTCAAAGCCCGGCAGCTACCGGTATGTGAGGCATACCTGGCAGCACTTCTCTTTTGTCACCCGCATGGAACATGCCGATGACCGACTCCAAGTGCACCGCGCACAGCTCATCCCGCGCCTCTGTGTTCCGGGGCCAAGTATCAGGCATCCACAGCCTCACTCCGTTCAGGTTGTTGAGGTCGCCGAGTCTCTGCCCCAAATTGTCGACTGCTGCCTTCACGAACACTCTGCAAGGGTCAAAGCAGGACTCCAAATCCCCCGGGATCTCGCTGTATCCCGGAAGCTCCTTCTCGTGCAGCTTGAACTGGTGCACTCGCGGCCGGCCTTCCTTGTCAACTCCCTCCACGGTCACCTTGCGACTGTTGGTCGACCCATGTCGCGAGAGAAATGTGGCCAGGCGCTTGCTCCCGTCACCCCCAAAACGCTCGCCACAGGTGATATAGCGCTGACGGATGTAGACGCAGGTGCGTCTGACCAGAGATCCCACTACCGTGAGGTCCACCTGAGTGGAAGGGAGGAAGGTACGAAAAAAAACAGGGGAGTAGTGAGTAGTATTTCCAAAAACTTTAACGCATACGTACATTGCAGTGGCCTACCTCTCGAGTCTGGAATGCCAAGTTGAGGTTGTTCAGCTCCTCCAATATATCTGCTAGGAAGAACAAGTACACGTGAAATTTGAGCGATGTAACCACGTGATACATCTCCGTGTCGTATTCCAGGAGGAGAACAATCACAGCGGGCAGCACTTCGACAAGCCTAAGCACAGCCATGCCACGGCTGAGCCACCTAACGAGGTGGATGCCTTGAAGCTCTAGGTTCGTCATTGAGAAGATCACCTGCAGCTCCTTGAACAGCATGTGCCAGTTGTGCGACCTCCCCAGTAGCTCTGCGACGGTCCTCAGGATGAGGTCCACGATGCCAAGCTCCGGTGTGGCACTAGCAGCGTCCTTTGCAGCTAGGGCTTCCCTGCCAAACAGAACAATGTAGACATGATCAGCAATGCGAAAGGAACAATGAAACAACGATGAAATAATGAAGGAACAATGAAACAACGATGAAAGAATGAAGGAACAATGAAACAACGATGAAAGAATGAAGGAACAATGAAACAAAACATCAACAATGTAACAATGAAGGGACAATGAAACAATGAAATGCGCAAGGAACTTACCGATGGGCGATGCAATGTAAGGAGACGAGATGAGGCAGGCGAAGACGAAGTCGCGCGACCAAACCGCCCGTGACGCCCATCATGACCGCGGCTCCGTCAGTGCTGATTCCCGCAACTTTGTTCAGGTCTAGTCCGATGCTCTCCAGATGAGCTAGGAGCACTGCAAGAAGGGACGCAGCATCACATTTCTCGACATACAGCAGTGCAAGAAACTCGGTGACCACTCGCCGGTCACGAATGAAAGTAGCGAAAACAATCATGTGCTTGCCGCGGACTCTGTCAGTGCTCTCATCACAGCTGAGTCCGATGAACGGACTCGAATGCAAGTACTCGTGCTGCCTTGCACGCAAGTAAGTCGCTGTGGACGTGGTGAGCTCCTGGAAGCTATAGCTGCAATGAATTAGACGAGAGAAGGGAGAGGTGAGCTCCTACAAGTGTACAAGCGACTGCTGAGCTCCTAGAAGCTATACTGGTAACGAAATCAGTACGCTTGCATAGAATGGACAATGGGGTTACTGACAGCAGTACTCACGTTGTGAAATAAGAACCATAGCCCTTCTTCGGGAAGCCCGGCGTGCGCCTTCGTGAAAGATACTTGCACAGCTCGACCCACATCTCAATCGGCGCATCTGACTGGCAAATGAACATGAGCGTCTCCAGGAGTGCGATGACCCGTTCCTTCACGATGTCGTACGCCGACGGACAATCATCGATTCGTTGTTGCCCCTTTGTCAGCTTCTCCGTGATGGCCTGATTCCGCACTGCTCGCTTGTGTTTCTTGGTGCGCTGGTGATTCCGGAACGCTTGTGTCTGGACATCAACCGCTCCTTCACCCCCGCGACCGTAGTTAGTTCCGGGACCTGCATGATGCATGCACACACTGCACCTCACAGAGGGGAACCCGGCCTTAGTCTGACACAGCACAAGCCATGGGAAGTCCGAGGACCACTCCTTCTTAAACCGGAAAAGCGCATCTTGATACTTATCCTCTGCCTCGTCGATGATGGGCATTGAGTCTGAAGATGCGGCAGGGGAAGTGGGCCCAGATTCGGCAGGCAGCATCACGGTCGGCGTGGGAGGTGGTGCTACCCACGTACGCCCAAAGCTGAGAGTGACTTGGCGGTACCGGGCACCGAGCAGCTTCTTGGACGTGATGGGACCCATGCGGGTTGCACCATGCGCCAACGATGTCACACTTGCTGCTGGAACTGGTGCTGCTGCTATCGGCGCGGCAGGAAATGTTGCTGCTGGAACTGGCGCTGCTGCTATCGGCGCGGCAGGAAATGTTGCTGCTGGAACTGGCGCTGCTGGAACTGGTGCTGCTGGAACTGGTGCTGCTAGACTAGGTAGTGATGCTGCCAATGGGACAGATGTCTCAGCATGATTCCTAGGCAGGGTGGAAGAGGCAGGTACTGCGTGGACTCGCCTCAGGAAATCTAAACCCGTCAGACCGCGGGACCTAGAGGCAAGGGCGGGCTCAACGGGGGCCTGACTACAGCTGCCAACCCTATCAGGCTCCGCCATGGCGATGGGCGGGCAGCAATGCCCAAACGCATGGGCGGCGGCAGAAACAGATCGACGAGGAGGAAAGGCAGTGTCTCTCAGTTTGCTGGTGACCCAAAAGCACAGCTGTATGAAGCTGGGTGTGCAAGAGACGCGTGGTAGGGAAGGGCGTTTCAGGTGCAGCAACAATAACGGAATTGGACGGAGCGGTGCGAAGAGGGACGGAATTGGAAGGGATGTGCATGCAGGATTCGTTCGACCAATCGAACTTTCGTCCCTGCCTGCAAATAGCCCGGCGTATGCAGCGTGCATGGTGCGCTGGACTATACAGTGCCTTTGCGGCTTGGGCAGAAGTCCATTCCCTGCCAGCGAAGCCCAGGAAACGCGCATGAAGGTGGGTGTTAGTGCGATTCATAGGCATCTTCAACGGGAATCTGGGGATAAGCCTAGTATCGTCCCCTGTCAGTACAGAGGGGCTGTATCAGGGCTGTCCCCGCTAATACCCTGAGGCCTCAGGGCTTGGCGAAGCTGAACACTCTGAAATAACAGGGCTGCGTACGACATACATCCTGAAATTTCAGGCCAAACAAAAAGAATACCCTAAAATCTCAGGGCTCACGAACAGACCACACCCTGAAAATCAGGCTTTCAGGGTGTTTTTATTAGAGTGAGAATAGAATGTTGGAGTAGAGAGAGAGTACAGGAGAATATACCTAAGTGTTGTACCCTCTAAGAGGTGGCCCTATACAGTCTATGCAAACATAGACATTACACATGTTTGACAGTTTTACCCTAATATCAAAGTGAGAAGTGAATTGTTGAATAGAGAGAGAGTACAGGTGAATATACCTAAGTGTTGTACCCTCTAAGAGGTGGCCCTATACAGTCTATACAAACATAGGAGATACACATATTTGACATACTTTGCTCCATATATGACATGCTTGCCTTGCCATCAGTTTCTGTGTAATGTACGAGGAACTGTACCCATCACATTGTCAAGTGGAGGGCATATGAAGCTGAACCAATATCTCGCATCTCGTAGGTGATGCTTGAGATGAGCATTCTTGATGGCACGAGAAATTCGTGAATGCATGGGCACATGAGTGTGCACTCTGGATGCATGAATGGGTGAACAGATAAACACGAATGGTACGTCATAAGGGTCGGGAAGATTTACTTGCAAAACATGCAGACAACCTGTTGTGAAAGAGTTCGCCCTTACAGAAAGTGAGTCCACTCGTACGTCAGAGCCGTAAGGTAGAAGGCCATGAGAGCAGTCAGCGAAAGAGTTGATGCCTGAGCATGGCGGTGAAGGAGTAGATGCAGGGCAGAAGGGTTCATGTTAAACAGAATACGGAACGGTATTGATGGGTTGGATGAATGCTGCAGAAGAGGGGATCATAAATGCAGCAACTGGAAACAAGCAGGGTGACAGACACATAGAATAGGCAGGCCAAGAGGATAGTGCAAGTAACACGGGCTTTACAAGCACCATGTGTGCATGTCTTCATGCGTGCTCACCCCAAGCAAGAGACGCGAGACAACGACACCACCAGTGATGATCAGGAGAACGACATTTGGCCCATCCACTGACACATGATGGTAGGGCCGGCTGTGGTGCTTCGCATGGATGGACCGACCCCACCTGCACACCAGCATAGGGCAAACTAGATGGTGATTTCCATGTCACAGTGCACAGTCACATGTGAGAGGCGTTCACGCAGTGGCAACTGAAACCAGCATGATGCGGAGATGGGCAAACTACCAGGCGAAGGAGCTGTGCAGCAGTTTGGCGTGAAGAACCCACTCTTGAAGCACCCACCAGCACACGGCTGCTGCAGCCACTGCACGGATTCACAGAGGGAGGGTGACGAGCAAGTCGAGAATCAAGCCAGGGACCATGCAGGAAGGGAAGGCGGTAGAAAGAGTGTACACTGGCACCAGGAGCAGCAAGAGTGAACCCTACCAGCAGTATCTTGGATGCCCCAGTGTAAGTGCATGGCTCGCAGGCAGATGGCGGAGAGCATGGCGGCGATGCCTAGCAGCACTCCTGGCTGCTTCACGAAGCACCTGATTGCCTGCGCCATGGTTCTAGGCACCTGCTGCTGCGCCTCCTGCTGCTGCGCCTCCTCCTGCTGCACCTGCTGCTGCTTGCCTGACATCGCCAAGGATTCCGTCAGTCCTACCTCCCCCTCCTGACGACCCTCTAGCCAAACCTCCTGCCGAACCTCTTGATGTCCGTCCTGCTCCACAGACAGAGGGCCTGTGTGTCTGGGCAACAAGTTTGCCGCCGTCCCCCCTCCCTCTCTCCCTCCCAGGCTACTCTCCTCGGATCCTCTCCCTGCCTCTGCCCCCTTCCCCCGTCGCGTCTCAATTGCGCCCATCCCCTCTGCCCCAGGGCCTACGGCAGAAAGGCCTGGCCGTCGATGCGAAGGTCTGGACGGTCGAAATTGCATTTTGAACCGATGCACGGCATGCGACGAGGAGCGGGAGGGAAAGAAAGGCGAGGAGTGGCGAGTGATGCACGTGAGGAGCGGAGGGCGAGGTGGGGGAGGGCGTAGGTGAGGAGAGGAGGAAAGGACTGCACGTGGAGAGGAGCGAGATAGTACGCGGAGCGAAGCGAGAGACGCGCGATCACGGGGAGAGGATTCGGTTGCAGCGGCATAGCGCGTAAGATCTGCCGAGCAGTGGCAGAATGGAAGGTTTGCGACAAGAGCAGGGGACGCGATCACCCCGCCGCTAGTGGGGCGAGTTGGAGTGACAGGCCAACCAGGCATGGCGATTTGACGCAACAGCTGACGCCCGTCACACAGTCAGTCGCCCGTCTCCCTGCTGCCGCTGCTGCTGCTGCTGGGTGCTGCTGCAGCTGCTCCTAGCGCTCCCTCTCCCCGGACTGCCTCGAGACGGAAGTCAGTTCGCCAGATTGAGACTGGGCCACGACTCGTCGTCCGCCATATGAGGGCGATGGGTCATGGACGGACCGCTAGTGCGAGGAGCCGGGAACGAAAGAACGCGACAGGAATGGATGAGCGCGAATCCATCTCAGCCGTCGAATTCATCATACTGTACTGGCGAACCGCCGAACAGCCGGATGATAGGATTAAGAGGCGGTCGGCGGCTCGAATATGCGATCCCGATGTGACACGTTTGGAGGTGTGACAGCTTTGACACGCGGTAGCGAGGGACAGGTGGAGAGGTGAGGTCCATTGAGCGAGTTGCGCGATGGGTAAACGAGCCGCCCAAGAATGATGCTCTTGTGCATCCGTGCTGACTTGCTCAGTGAAGGGTCTGCTAATAACATCCTCTGCAAAGCCTGTCCAGCCTTGAAAATCAGAGCCATGAAAACACGGTAGTACACTACATACGTCATTACTCTATAGCTACGAGCACTGATTAGGAGGTGTTGTTTGTAGAGCATAAAAACGATAGAAGTCCTTTCACTCGAACGCTTTAGAGATAACATGATGAACCTCTCAATTGTTAATAATAACTCGAAAAAACTTACAAAAGGGAGGCAAAATGATTATTACACTAGCGTCCTGGAGTGTACCATTGGGCGCAGAACATCCCATCACCAGCACTCAGCACCCCTCCAGCCACCGTGTCCTCATGCCCAAGGGCGTTGGAGATACTCAGATATCGGCATCTTTAATGCAGCAGTGGGTAAGGGCGCATGTGCCCCACAAGCCGTGCTGTCATTGCTGCTCTAGTCTGTGATTGTGAACCGCCCACTGCTCCAGACGCCCATGCTCCTACCAGCTCTCCATTGCATTCATGGGCTGGAACCGTGACATTGCACGGACCGGCATGTGTGCTTCCGGCATGAAACCCTCCACCAACCTGCTTCGTCCATTTGACACCCACATGTGCCTCAGCCGCAGGCACAGGTATTCTATGAGCCTTCAATTCAGCTGAAACTGCCTCTTTCTCCCTCTTCCCCTGCACGCCATCTTCAATATTAGTTGGCAGGCGCCTGTACCCCTGGGCCCATTTGGCTCTCAGGTAATCAGCGCGCCTCCATGGCGGAACATGCATGCCCTGGGCCAGCAGCGAGCGGTGCATGCCAGAGCACAGCATGTCCGCCAGCTGCTGCAAGCGCTCCGAGCGCCCCACAAAGATCAGCGGAGTTGCCTGCAGCAGGGACGCGTACTCCAGGCTCGGCCGGGCCACGTGGAACTGACCCCGGAAGTCAATGTCCACCAGGAGACGCGTGGCAGCGCCGAATGATGACGCAGGTGGAAGGGGGGCTCCCATGGGTGAAGGCCACTGCCTGCTGGTGGTAGGCTCTTGCGCTGGTGGTGCTGGTCTTGGTGTGGATGCAGTGCGAGACGAGGATGAGCCCACAATGACGTCAATGTACTCGTGGCTCCCTGCGCATAGGCGCATACCGAAAGGAGCAGAGGGGGGAACAAAGTCAGCAGAGCCGTGAAAGCCATGAGACAGACAGCATACAAGAACCCAAACAAGCGCAACCGCTGCACTGCACGCACGCACTAGTGGTAAGCGTCCGAGACGATGCTCACCTCCCGGAAGGCCTTTCCGGTGGCCCCACTGGGATTCGCAGAGAGCCGCATCGTAACCCTTCGCCTGCAGCCATTGCACCACATCAGCGCGCGCTCGCCCACTAGCAGGCAGTCCGCCAGCCCCCCCTCCTAGCTCGCTCGCTCCACTCCCCGCCGCTCCTGCTGTCTTCTTCTCGCCTGCTGACTTGGCTTCTCCTGCTCCCGTGTCGAAGCTTCGGGGGTGCGAAGCAGCATTGGCAGGCGCGCTGGGTGAAGGGGATCTTCGAGCTTCTTTGAGTGCCGCTAGGACGTCCACGAAGAGGCGACACTCCTCAGCCGTCTGGCACACGCCTAGCGACTGGACGGCAGGGGATGAGGACGCACAGAGTACGGGAGTTAGAATTAAGAGTTAGACTTCGTGCTACGCACCTCGACGTCCCAGAGCATGCTTCTGAATCAGAATAATTCTGAACCTGGTAACATCGACGCCTAAAAAATCCCACGGTAAGCGGGTCTCATACCTCGACCATTTGAGTGAGCTGCGCGACATCGTAGCCGCCGCCCTCGCGGTCCTCCATAGCCGTCCTTGCAGAATTGCAATGCTGGCCTTCGCGGCACCACGGACTGCCGCATCCGCACACGCGCTGGGACCACGTGGACACGGGTGCGCCCTTGAGCGGCGCAGCACCAGTTCCTTGCAGGGCTGCGAGCCCGCACGCGGTGTCGGCGGCGGAATCATAACGGTCGCTGACGCGCATGCCGCCCTTGGGAGCAGTTATGGCGGTGGCCGGATCGTCTAAGAAGTCCGAGACCATCTCAGAAAGACACATCGATGCGAACGGACTGGAAGCGAATTGTCGAGAGGGAAAATTGGGGCGAGAGAGGGAGGGAGAGTGAGCGAGGAGAAGAAAAATCTTCGACCGAAGCTAGAACTAATATTAAGACGACAATTCAGACGCAATTCACGTTTCGTCGAGGCAGAATGGCTGAATTGAGGACCGACCTGTTGGGTGGCTCTGTACACTTGGTATTGCCGTTCGCAATGAGCTGGAGGCCCTTCAACGCGCCTCCATCGTGCCGCAGTACCGTGTCAGAACGAGCGGGACACGCAAACGCTATCGAGACACACTGGTCTGGTCGATTGGACGACCGAGCGGCGTTGTTCACGCTGAAAGGTGGCTTCACGAAAGGCAGCTCCATCATCGGTACTACGAGAGTGGAATTCGGAAAATGCTGTTCGCAGACCAAGCCAGTCCAAGGCGATACTTGACCATAAACCAATTGGCCAGAATTACGACTGTCTCATCGGTTGTTGGGCCTGTGAGCTCACACCAGCGAGCGATCAAGTGAGGTGTTGAAAGGGGAATGGAGCTCCTGGACGAGGAAGGGAAAGTGCAAGTGCAGCCACTGGGGGAGGGGACGGCACTGCTGGCAAGCTATCCAACCGCATTCAACCCCACCCACCTACCCGTCACACTGTACCCGCTTCGCGCGACGTCACGATTTCTGACGGAAAGATTCCTCCTCCCGACTTGCTTCAATTGATGCGGGGGAGTTCTGCTACAGTTGTAAAAATCTCCCTGTGGCGACTTCTCCCATAACCTAGGCATTCGTTGGAAGGGTTGCTGCCGAGATGATATTTGCAATATCCGATATCAACGGTCGAAACAGCTTCTTATAAAGGAATCCACGGCATACGACTAATCTGTTCGATGAGTGCCATCCGGGACTGGCCCTTCCTGCCATGAGCGGGTATCTCCAGATCAGGTGTGACGTGCCACTTGACAATCACTGGTCAGAACGCACGAAACGCGTCGGAGCCAATGGACACCCTCCGCCATTCTCGCAGTTGATCCGGCTGTCCCAATAGGCCACGCAACCCCATACGCACTGTATATGAATGCAAGTCCTTCCTCCTGAACCAATGGCTGTGGCTTTTGTCGCGTGAATAGCACGTCACTTTGTAGACATCTGGGCTGGACCTCGCCGATAGCAGCACATACGCACGTGTGCGTCAACTGCACGAATGGAATCTGGCGCAGGCCACGTCGATTGGCACTTGCAGCTTTCCAAAAGCCATCTAAAATATCCACATTACCCTGTGTGCTTTACGTACATTGTTATGATTTAGAAAGTGTCAATTAAAACCACAGGCTAAAAAGGCACACCTTGGGCGCTCTTGAAAACTGTGTTTTTTTGTGGTCAGAATAAAAGACCCAGACTGGAGCACTCCACATGAAAAGTAACGAAAAAACATGTCTTGCGACATTTTGAAACGTAGCGAGAGGGCCACGACGCACCAAGCACCCCCACGACTTCGGTAGAATATGGTGCGACAAGAACTGAGGTCGCACAACTCAACCAAAATCGTTTCTGTGCGACCACAACCTCGAACCCATCGTTCAAGAGCTCCATGGGTGTGCTTCACGTTTCTAAGGAGGATGTTGGGCTAAAAAAAAGGCCTTATGATCTTTTGCAGAGACTAAGTCCCAGCTTGTAGAGACTTGAGACTTGGAGTAGTGCAGCGGAAGTTGAGGCAGTTGAACCCTTGTACTAGTATGTGAGAACAAGTGATTGATTAAGGAAACAAGCATACAGCAATATATAGAAGATAAGAAAGCAGTTGTAGAGTACAGTTACAGGAACGGTTTATCGAGTCGCACAGCGACTCGATTGCTACTTCGGTTACCATCCATGATGCTGTAACGGTCAGTCGCAACCTCCAGTTGCGACCTTTCGCATTCTTTGTCCGCCCCCTCGTGTAACCTCCGTTGACTCGCGTGCTCCCTTGTAGTCTTCCTCGAGTGTAGTGTTACACTTCAGAAACGCTTAAGTTCTTTGAGATATTTCCAACACTCCCCTTCGTTTCTGGAGTGCTGTTATGTTCGGATCTGGTGACGTTTGTCTGTCCGGTCAGCAGCATGCAGTGGTCGAATTTTGTCTTCGCCAATTTCTTCGTCAAATAGTCTGCGGCCATTTCTGTCGTCGGGCAGTAACTGAGTTGAAGTCTCCCCTTCGCGATTTCATCCTTGACGAAGAAGTACCGTAGGGCGATGTGCTTGGTTCGGTTGGCGAAGCCATCCTTGTTCGCGATTTTGATCGCGGATTGGTTGTCGCAGAGGAGTGAGAAGGCGGGTAGGGTCGCGATCTTCGCTTCCTCGAGTAACTCCCGTAGGTAGAGTCCTTCCTTGGTCGCAGTACAAAGGGCGATATACTCTGCTTCAGCCGAGGATAGTGCGATTAACTCCTGCTTGCTCGACTGCCAGGAGATAGTTCCGATGGGCTCTAGTCGGTAGATGTAGCCCGTCCTGGATCGTCGATTTTCCTTATCTCCCGCGTGGTCGGCGTCGACGTATCCGAGTAGTCGTACGGACGGTGTTGTTGCTTTGCTGTAGGTAAGCCCGATCGTCGGCGTGGAGACGAAGTAGAGTAGTGCCCGGTTGAGCTCCTCGAGATCTTCCTGTTCCGGTTGCTTCAGATGTGTCGCCAGTTGACTTGCACTGTAGGACAGGTCGGGTCGGCAGGTTACTGCTGCGAATAGTAGGCAGCCGAGCTTCTGTTGATACTCCTGGATTTGCTTCGCGGGGAGTTTTGCGGAGGCGCTGTTGTTATTTCCGTAGCGGTAGGGGGTCGGGATCGTAGTCGGCGTCAGTCCGAATTTCTTCGCGATAGTGCCTGCGTACTTTCCAGCGTGTAGGTAGAACGCCGAGTTGTCTTCGACGACATTCAGTCCTAGGTACTGGGTCACTTCGTCGGACACCGTGAGTGTTAAGTCTTCTTTCAGCTCCCCTTCGAACCAGGTAGCGATGTCGGTAGTGGAGCCGATGTAGAGCAGGTCGTCGACGTAGACGATGAGTAGGACATACTCTCTTCCCTTCTGCAGTCGGTACATCCCTTGGTCATGCGGCAGTTGTAGGAATCCGATTTTTGCGAGACGGCCGTGAAGGTGCTGCTGCCAGAGCCGTGGGGCTTGCTTGATCCCGTATAGGGATTTCGTCAGTCGGCATACTTTCGTGGGGTCGTCGATGAATCCGTGGGGTTGTTCGACGAAAATCTCAGCGTCCACAGGTGCGTATAGGAACGCATTGGCGACGTCGATTTGGCGTAGTGGTAGTGTCTTCGTGGCCGCGACGGCGAGTAGGATGCGTAATGAGGTGTGACGGGAGACTGGAGCGAAGGTTTCTGTGTAGTCGGTCCCGTATCGTTGGTCGAAGCCTCGTACGACCCATCGAGCTTTGAATCGTTCGATGGAGCCGTCTGAGTTGGTCTTGATGCGGTACACCCATTTCCCTGAGAGGACGTTTTTTCCGTTGATGCTTGTTGCAGGTACCAGTTTCCATGTTTTCCGGTCTTGCAGAGCCTTTAACTCATTTTCCATCGCTTCCTTCCATTTCGCCTTATGTTCCCCCCCCAGAGCCTGCGACAAGGTCGAAGGCTCTCGCGGAGAAGGCGGCGGCGGATGCTGGACGGAGACCCAGAGGCCTAGAATCTGCAGTCCCGTGGGTGTGTGTCGAGGGGAATTTTCATTCCCGGAATAAGCTGCTTCGTCACCGTCTTCTGGGTCAGGTAAGAAGTTGGGACCGATGCGTTCTGAAACATTTGTGTCGACTGGGTGGGGTGTAATGTAACCTTGGTCAGCGAAGTGGTAAAAGGTGTCGAGGTTGTTGCTATCGAGAGGATTGTCTTCGTCGAGTGGAACAGGTACGGAACAGAATGGGAGTGGCCCGGCAGCTTCCGAGGCTTCAGGTACGTCTTCTTCTGCTGCGTCAGCTTCGGCAGCACGGTCGGCGAAGGAACGAAGTCCCGAGAAGCCGTCGGTGGGGTCTTGTGTGTTGGCAATGTTGTCCAGGTAATGCTGCAGCGTCAGTCGCTCGTAGAAGATAACATCACGTGATGCCACGGTATTTTTGTCTTGTATGTCGAGAATTTTCCACGCGTGAAAATGTTTTGCGATGCCGAGGTGTAGTCCCCACCGAGCTCGTTGTGTGAAGCGTCCTGCTCGGGCTGTGTGGGGTCTGTACTGTACCATGCAGCCAAAAACTCTGAGTAATTTTGTGCTGCCCCTTTTTCTTGTCCACAACAGGTGCGGTGATGCGTTGTTGGGAAGTGATGACGAGGACAGCAGCTTGTGCAGGTGAACAGCATGTGTCATCGCGTCGGACCACAGTGTGGTTGGCAGTCTCATCCCCTGAAGCAGTTTTCGCATTGTCGTCTGCAAGGTCCGATTCATGCGTTCTGCGACCCCCTGCTGTTGGTGAGCATAGGGCAGGGACACCAGGCGTCTGATTCCTCTTTCCGCCAGATAGGTCCTGAAGCGTTGTGACTGGTATTCCAGTGCACCGTCTGACTGGAAGCTCTTGAGTTTGAGTCCTGATTCTCGTTCGGCGATGGGAAGCCATGTTGTGAAGGCTTCGAAGGCTTGATCGCGCGTCTTGAGATTGAAGTGCCAGACATATCTTGTTGCGGCGTCGATGAACGTGATGACGTAGTTGAAGTCGGCTTCGGTGTCGTCTCGAGGCATGTTTAAAATATCGCTGTAGACCTTTTCCATCGGAGCGGAAGTAGGTGCGCTTGGGTTGTGATGGGATGGGAAAGGTTGATGAGGAAGATCTGCTTCGGGGCATGTGAAGCACCGTGCGCGTGGTCGTCGAAGTTCTTGGCCGCTCGTCGTCAGAAGGGCGTTGCGTTCTAACACATCTGCTTGGATTGTTTGAAGTATCGTGCTGTTTGCAGGATGTCCGAGACGTTGGTGCCAGATGTCGTCGGGAGCGCGGTGACCAGGCGAGCGGTGGTAGATGTCGGCGTTGGAGAAGAACGCGACGACCGAGGCGGGACTTCGACAAGCTTCTCGTGTGGCGGGCATAAGTTGGTCTGCTTCGGTTGGTGGTCCTCGTGTCGCTGGTGGTGGTACTCGGCTGGGTCCTGCTGCCGATACTGCAGGTGATGGTTTTGTTAGGACACGTGCGGGTACTTGTCTTTCTTGTCTGATAACTGCTAATGCTCGTGTTCTCTCTGCTGCAGGTATGGTGTTGGAGTGCCAGAAGCCGTCACTGTCGAAGTCGGGATCAAGATCCGGCGGGTGAGTCCAGGCGGCGAATGATACGATACCGTCGCTGTCGGCAGTACCGCGGTCGGGGACGAAGTCCAACACGAAGACGCCGGACTTCAGGAGGGCACGACCGATGAAGAGGCCGCCCTTCCCGTGGTAAAGTCGAAACTCGTTGGAGTAGGAGTCGCACTCCAGGTGAATCCCCTTGGCCATTAGTTGGCTTACGCTTAGTAGGTTGTATCCCAGATTGTCGACAATGAGCACTTTGTTGAGCTGAAGTATGACGTTTGTCTCCATCGATT